GAGTCCGCTCTGTGTGTAGCGGGGAAGTGTGGTGTCCTCGGGATAGACTGCCTCGTCTCCAGCTTCTGGATCAGGTGCGAAGTTGGGCCCTATGCGTTCTGCTTCGTTGGTGTTGACTTCAGCAGGTGTAACGTAACCGTTGTCGGCGAAGTGGTAGTAGGTTTCGGCGTTGACGCTTTCGCGAGGGTTATCTTTGTCCATCGGTACGTCCACTGAGCAGTAGGGAAGAGGTCCGGCTTCTTCCGAGGCTCCTTCCACGTTCTGCTCGTCCCAGTCAGCTTCGTCTTCTGCCGAAGCGAAGGCTCGATCGCCACGGAAGCCACCTGTGGGGTCTCGATTTTCGTCCAGGTTGGCAAGGTATGTTGGCAGTGTGAGCCGCTCGTAGAAGATCACATCACGTGCTGCTACTGTTTCCTTGCTGTTGATATCGAAGATCTTCCATGCGTTGTAATGTTTTTCGATGCCCAGGTGTAGTCCCCATTGTGCGCGTTGGGAGAATCGGCCGGCTCGTGCAGATGGGGGTCGGTACTGTACCATGCAGCCGAAGACTCGTAACATTTTTGTGCTGCCCAGTTTCCCTGTCCACAGCAGATGCGGTGATGTGTTGTTCGGGAGTGACGACGAAGAAAGCAAATTGTGCAGCATCACGGCGTGGTCCATTGCTTCGGGCCACTGGTGGTTGGGTAGCCGCATGCCACGTAACAGTTTGCGCATGGTGTTCTGCAGGGTCCTGTTCATCCTTTCTGCTACACCCTGCTGTTGATGGGCGTAGGGAAGGGAGATGAGTCTCTTGATTCCCTTCTCCGCCAGGTACTGCTTGAATCGTTGTGACGAGTATTCTCCTCCTCCGTCTGATTGAAAACTTTTGAGTTTAGCTCCCGATTCCCGTTCTGCTGCTGGAAGCCATGCCATGAAAGCTTCGAAAGCCATGTCGCGACTTGGTAAGTTTAGGTGCCAGACGTAACGTGTAGCGGCGTCGATGAAGGTGATGGTGTAGTTATACGCGTTTTGTCCGGGTTCGCGGTTGTACAGGATGTCGCTGTACACTTTCTCGAGTGGTGCATATGCGGGTGCGCTTGGATTGTGATGCGAGACGAAGGGTTGATGCGGTAAGTCAGCTTCAGGACAGGTGAAGCATGTCCCTCGTGCTCGTTGAAGTTCTCGTCCGTCTGTTAAAAGTAAAGAGTCCTTGTCGAGTACTCCTGCTCGAATCGTGTTGTTTAACACAGTGTTGCTTGGGTGTCCCATTCTTGCGTGCCAGATTTCTTCGTTGGCGCGATGACCGGGTGAGCGCCGATACATGTCGGAGTTGGAGAAGAGACCAGCGGTGAAGCTGGGACTGTGATGAAATTCTCGTGGTGCTGGCTGGAGCTGTTGTGCAGGTGTTGGTGGTGCATCGTCGTTGAGGAACGCCGTCGTTGAAGGACCGGCGACTGGTGTCGTCGTTGTCGCTGTTGCTGCCGATGATGTTTCTACTGCTGCCGACGTTGTCTCTGCTGCTGCCGACGTTGTCTCTGCTGCTGCCGATTGTTGAATTGTCGCTAATGCCCTTGTTCGTTCTGTCTCAGGGACGGTGTGTGAGTACCAGAAGCCGCCTGGACTGAAGTCGGGGTCAAGATCCGGAGGGTGTGTCCAGTTGGTAAAGTTGACTATGGCGTCACTGTCAGCGGTGCCGAGATCAGGAACGAAGTCCAAGACGAAGACATTGTTTTTAAGGACTGCCTTCCCGATGTAAAGACCTCCTCTCCCGTGGTACAACTTGAATTCTTGGGTAGTGCTGTCTGCTTCGAGGTGGATGCCTTTCGCCATCAACTGACTCACACTGAGAAGGTTGTATCCGAGGCCTTCTGCAATTAAAACCTTGGACATTTGCAGAATGACGTTTGTCTCCCGTGACTGAAGTTGTACAATTCCTTGTCGTCGTGTGCGCAGGCTTTGATTATTGGCGACGGTGATGACGACCTCTCGTTGAAGCTGATACTCTCTCTGCACGAAGCGTCCCGAAGAACACATGTGTTGTCCGCAGCAACTGTCCAAGAACCACGTGTCTTTTCCGGATGGCTCGTTTTGGGCGATGGCAGCGTATGTCGGATTTGGTTGAAGTGCTTCGCGACGAGGTGTGGTGTTGTCGAGTTGTTCTTCCGGTGAGTAATGAGGTGGTGAATCCATGACGCAAGAGTCACTCAGTCTTGCCATACAGCTAACGATGTTTCTTGCTCCTTGCGCAGGTTGTCCCGTTGAGGTCGTTGAAGCTTGGATCTGGGTCGTTGGATTCGCTTGCGTTGACGCAATTTGACTGCTTGAAGGTCGAAGGTGTCGTTGCGGGGTCGTTGACTGTTGACGATTCGGGCAGTGCGTGCGCGGGTGCCCTGAAGTCTTGCAGATGTGACAGAAGGGAGGTACTGGCTTCGGTCGTTGTTGTCTGTTGCTGTAGTTGTTGTGTTGTCGTTGGGTGTGAAATGCGAACTCTGACGTTGTCGTCTTCTTCCTGTGTCGTTCTTCTTGCAGATCCATGTCCTGCTGTTCGGCGTGGATTTCGGCGCAGAGTGCTGCCTCAGAGATTCGTCCGTGGGCTCGGAGTATGGCCTTTGTTGCGCGCCACTGAGGACCAAGGCCGCCGATGATGACCGTCACGAAGGCGTCCTCAGAGATTGATCCTCCACATCGAAGAAGCTTGTCGCGCAGTTCGCGACATCGACTGATATATGCCATTCCTTTCTCTCCTGGTTTCATCTCAACTGTTGTCAGCTGCGCCATTAACCTGCTCTGATTTACACTGTCTGTTGCTTGGTACAGGTTCTTCAGATGGTTGTACGCGAGTTCCGCCGAGTTGCCGAAGGCCCGGTAAGAGCGAATGTTCTGCTGTTGAGTTGGTGTTACGTTCCTCAGTAGGATCGTATACGCCATCATCGATTGATACGTGTACTGCTGCTTCTCATACTGTGTGCCGTTTGCTGGGTATTGCAGGGACCCGTCGAAGAAGCCAAGTATCTGCGCGCCCTCCATCATCAACTCGAACTCAAAGGACCAGGTGAAGAAGTCCTTTCCGTCGAATGGTCTTGACGTTTGAAGCTTCAAAACGTGTGCGAACTGCGACTGTACTTGTAACGCGTCCAGTGATTTGTCTTGTGCAGGCGAAGACTGCGGCATGAAGCTGATTGACCCGCGTTCGTACGGGGCGAAGGTAGGTTGCTGCTGTTGATTTCCGCGCGCGTATGACGACCCATCAAGGCTCATGGGCGTCACTCCGTTGTTGCTGTTGTGTGTCTGTGCAGGTCCCGACTGCTGGTGCTGCTCGTAGAAGGACATGAAGGAGAAGAACTTCTCCATCATGCTCTGGTCAAAGCCCGTGGGGCGATTTGTGAGAGTCTCGGTGGACGTTCCCCTAGGTCTTGTTGCCGTGCCTTCCTCTGTCTGCAGGCCAGAGGCAGGAGGTGGTGTAGGAGTAGTGCCCGGGGAGCCATTAGAAGAGCTCCTCTCCTTGTTTGTTGCCATGTCTTGTAATGTCTTTGATTTGGAAGAGGTAGAATTTCCCCTGACTGCTCTCATACCATGTTGGGCTGAGATAGCCCCTTAGGATCTTTTCAGGGGAGAACTCTGGATAGGACAATTGTAATAGCGGAAGCTTTCAGTGAAGAAATTGTGAACCACCTTGCGCTAGTATGTGAGGGCAAAGTAGATTAATTATAACAAGAGAGTACAAGAATATATAATAATGTAGGAAATATCAAGGGATACAGTTATAACTGCTTTTGCTGTTGCTGTTGCGGTTCGATACAGTACGACTCGGGCAACTGCTCTGTAACGAGTCAGTTGTATGTCCTTAACTGTCGCGCTGTACTTGTCGGGTCAAAGATCGCTGACCTTTGACTTTCGCGTAACCTCCAGCAACCTCTTCAACCCCCGAGGGTTGACTCGCGGGTGCTTCGGTGTAGTTTGCCTCGCTTCTGATGCGGTGTTTTCGACACGACTGAAGCGCTTAAGTTTTATTGTTTCCAACACCTAAGTGTTGCCTTCGCGTTACCTGCAATTACTGGTAAAGAAAAACGATGTGCTATTTTCAGTGTCTATGTAAAGAGCAATGTTTGCCTTGTTTTTTTAGGTCATGGATAACTTGCAAGCAGCATGACGGTTGACCTGTGAATGCTTGTGTCCTGGTTTGGGAGATATGAAGAATTTAGCACAAAGGAATGAAATTTGCTGAAATGCAGTACACCCTGCGATATGAAAACAGTATACAGTACACCCTGCCATGAGCTGAGCACAAATTACATTTTCCACACCCAACCCAGTGAAATAGCCCTGTTCACCAATGCTACCCATCAATACCGCTTTCCAGTTGGAGCCAGATTTTCCATGCAGTGATCCCATTTCTCGCCGATCTCTTGTTTTACCTCACTCACACAGCAGCATATCATCATTCTGCGCACTAGCACGCTAGAAGCCTCGACAACCACCGTTTTCTCTGAAACATCTGAAGCAGTTTAGTCGCCATTGGTAACGAACGCCGTGCAATTCACGCTAATCGGCGACGCGACGTACAGCGCCGACGGCGGCCCGCGAAAGCACACTCTCACGCTCGGCACTCGCGGTGCAGTAGAGCAGATTCCAGGGAGCATTCGCACCGGTTTAAATACTTCCGGCGCGTTGATCGGCGTCGCGACGAACGGCTGCGATGGCAGAAGAGGGCGCAGCGATGGAGCTGGAGGGACAATGGCGCGACCTGGACCGTCTGTTGCTTCGACCAGGGATGCTCGTCGGCCCAGGATTCGAACCCTCGCCGGAGGTACTGCCCTACGCGACTTAGTGGGACTCGTTTGAGTGCCGTAAGCAGCGCTGCACTTGTGAATGCCAGATTGTCATCATGTGGGACCGCGTCGCGGAGTGGGTTGACTGAGATGCCACCTGTCATTCATACGTGACATCACGCCTTGGCATCCGTGGCATCCGTGGTGGGAGCAGGTGGGCGGGAGCGCACGGTGCCTCAACGGTCTGCTCTTATGCGTGTCCTTCTCCTCCCCCACCTTCTCCTCAACCACCCTCTCCCCCCCACCCTCCCCTCTCCTCCCCCACCCTCTCCTCCCCCACCCTCTCCTCCCCCACCCTCCCCTCTCCTCCCCCACCCTCTCCTCCCCCACCCTCTCCTCCCCCACCCTCCCCTCTCCCCCCATCCTCTCCTCCCCCACACTCCCTTCTTCTGGCACTCGCTCGCGCATCCCACCTTGTCTTCCGTCCCGTGCCCCACGCCCACCAATCCCATTCGCGGCTTCCTCAAGTGAGACTGCCGCGTGCTGCTGTGATGCGGTGCGAGCAGGCTGCAGGCCTGCGAGATGCCCAAGAACCTTCAGGCTGTGACGAGCTGGCAGCATGCAGGCGGGATGGGGTTCTCAAAGACCCGCTGGGATGGGATGGGATTTACCTTCTTTTCCATTCCACGCTTTCCCCAACTCCTCCCTTCCCTACTCTCCCGCCTGCCCCACCCTCCCACCTGCCCAGCCTCCCCCCGACCCACACCAGCCAGATCCGCGACTTGTTGAAAGAGGACTGCCGGGTGGTGGGGGCGGGCGGGCTGGGGTGTGAGCTTCTCAAACGCAGTGACTTTTGAGTTGACTCAAAAGTCACTTGCGAGCTGCTCAAACACTTGCTGTGAATGGGGTGTTGTGACTCACCCTTTTCTCCGTATCGCCCTGTTCCCACCTCTCACCTGCCCCGCCCTCCCTCCTCCTCGCCACCCCTCCCCCACCCTCCCACCTCTCCTCTCAATCAGATCCGTGACTTTTTGAAAGACGACTGCCGCGTGCTGGTGGTGGGAGCAGCCGGGATGGGCTGCGAGCTGCTAAAGGACCTGCTGGGATGTATGATGTATCCCCTTCCCCCGTCCTTGCCACCCCTCTTTTCCCCCCTGCCCCATTCAACCCTACACCCACACCAATCAGATCCGCGAGTTCCTAAAGGAGGACTGCCGTGTGCTGGTGGTGGGAGCAGGCGGGCTGGGCTGCGAGCTGCTAAAGGACATAGTGCTGTGATTCACCTCCTTCTCCTCGCCACCCATCCCCCGTTCTCACCCCTTCCTCACTCTCCCCTCTTCATCACGCCTCTACCCACACCCACAGATCCGCGAGTTCCTCAAGGAGGACTGCCGAGTGCTGGTGGTGGGGGCGGGCGGGCTGGGCTGTGAGCTGTTCAAACGCCTGCTGTGATTAGCCTCCCTCGTTCCACTCCATCCCTTCCCCTCCCGCCCACCTGCTGCACCAACCAGATCCGCGAGTTCCTCAAGGAGGACTGCCGAGTGCTGGTGGTGGGGGCGGGCGGGCTGGGCTGTGAGCTGCTAAAGGACCTGGTGCTGTCGGGGTTTGGCAGCATAGACGTCATCGACATGGACACCATCGATGTTTCGAATCTCAACAGGCAGTTTCTGTTCCGGTGAGATGCAGTACATACACAGTGCATACAAACATCTGCTACAGTGTACAGCTGCTAAAGGACCTGGTGCTGTCGGGGTTTGGCAACATTGACGTCATCGACATGGATACCATCGACGTCTCCAACCTCAACAGGCAGTTTCTTCTTCGGTGGGTTACAGTGCCAGTACAGTGCCGGTACAGTGCTGCAACAGTGCATGCTCCTTGTGGGGTTTGGCAGCATAGACGTGATAGCCATGGATGGACACCACTGACGTCTCAAACCTTAACAGGCAGTTTTTGTTTTGGTGAGTTACAGTGGTACCACAGTGTATGAACTGTGCTTGGCCTTGATGGGTGGGAGCGTAGACGTCAGTGACATGCACCGTCGACGTCTCGAATCTCAACCGCCAATTCCTTTTCCGGTACGTTACAGTGTATGAGCAGTGGTGCTACAGTGTGTAAACAGTGTTTTTACAGGCATGGACTCGGCAGGCTTTGCAGCAGTGACGTTACGAATCTCAGCCGCTAGTTTCTCTTCCTGTAAGTTACTGTAGAGAACCTACAGTGTATGAACAGTTGATGGACTTATGATGTGATGATGTGCTATCATCTCTTATCGCTGGCCTTCCTGCTCCTTCTCCTCACTCACTACTTTCCCTCGCGTGGGCCCCATGCCCCTCCGTGCAACCCTGACTTGGGCAAGCCCAAGGCCGTGGAGGCAGCAGAGCGAGTGACAATCAATAAGCCTTTTTCCGCTATCCATCTCCTCTCCCCTGACCTCTCCCCTCCCATCCCCTCATGCCCCTCCGTGCAACCCTGACTTGGGCAAGCCCAAGGCCGTGGAGGCAGCAGAGCAGAGCAGCAATGTTGTTGGCACTCAACAAGTCTTCTCCCGCTTTGCCGCCCGTTCCCTTCTGACTCCTTCCCCTGTGCCCCTCCCTACCCTTGCGTGCAGACCGGCAGACGTGGGCAAGCCCAAGGCGGTGGTGGCAGCAGAGCGAGTGACAATCAGCAAGTCTTTTTCATTTCCCTCCCTTTCCCCTGTATTGCCCCATGCCCCTCCATGCAGCCCGGCTGACGTGGGCAAGCCCAAGGCCGTGGTGGCGGCAGAGCGAGTCATGAGCCGCGTGGGCAGGATCAAGGTGAGAAGGGAAAAGGGGATGGGGGGAAGGGGAGGAGGGAAGGTTGCAGGGGGAAGGGGAGGGAGGGAGTGGTAGAAGTGAGGGGGGTAAGGGGAGGACTTGCCACGTTTGCACTGGTGTGCTTCGTGCTATATTCCCTCACTCTCTATCAAACCCCACCTCTTGCTATTTCCTGTCGTAGCCTTCGATCCCCTTTGCCACTTTCTGAATCACCGCTCGCCCTCTCCCTGCACCCCGCCCCACCCTCAACAGGTGACGCCGGCACACCCACAGCACCGTCACCTTTTGCACGCACCCCCACAGCACCCTCACCTATCGCACGCACCCCCACATCACCATCACCTATCGCATGCACACCCACAGCACCATCACTTATCACACACATAGGTGATGGTGTGCGTGCGATAGGTGATGGTGCAGGTGGGTGTGCGTGCGATAGGTGATGGTGCTTTCGGTGTGCGTGCGATAGGTGATGGTGTTGTGGGTGTGCATGCGATATGTGATGGTGCTGTGGGTGTGCATGCGATAGGTGATGGTGCTGTGGGTGTGGATGCGATATGTGATGGTGCTGTGGGTGTGGATGCGATATGTGATGGTGTTGTGGGTGTGCTTGCGATAGGTGATGGTGCTGTGGGTGTGCGTGCGATAGGTGCACTTCTGTCGCATAGAGGACAAGCCCGCCTCCTTCTTCAACGATTTGAACATCACTGTGGTTCGACTCGCGTACTGAGACATCACCAACCCCCATCCCAACCCACCCCACCCCACCCCACCAGGTGACTCGCTCTCTCAGACATCTCAAAATTATCCACACTATCCCTCTCCCCATTCCAACCCCTCATCTTTCTCCACCCCCCACCCCACCCCACCAGGTAACCCCCCACTTTTGTCGCATAGAAGACAAGCCGTCCTCCTTCTTCAACGATTTCAACATCATTGTGTTGGGGCTGGACTCGCTGGAGGCGCGCTCCTACATCAACAGCCTCGTCTGCGGCTTCCTAGGTCAGCCAGCCAGCCACAGCATGCTTGCTCCACTGTGGGCGATTTTGCTCGCATGGTTCAAAGAGCCAGCTTTTACACATTTGTGCAGCAGAATGGACATGCTGTCATGTCACACAGGGCATCGTCATTCTTTACAGTAGGCTCTTGCCTCCTGAGTGCCAGTCATGGCTGTGTGTCACATGGCTGTGTGTCACATGGCTGTGTGTCACATGGCTGTGTGTCACATGGCTGTGTGCCCACTGGGCTTCAAGGGGCCTGCGAGGGTGATCGTCCTTCCTGCCTAGTGCCACCCGCCCCGTCTACTCCTCTCTCCCCACTCACTTCTCGTCACCGACAGAGGGCAATGGCCTCCTCATCTCCACCCCTTTCTGCATCCCATTCTCCACCCCTTTCTGCATCCCATTCTCCACCCCTTTCTGCATCCCATTCTCCACCCCTTTCTGCATCCCATTCTCCACCCCTTTCTGCATCCCATTCTCCACCCCTTTCTGCATCCCATTCTCCACCCCTTTCTGCATCCCATTCTCCACCCCTTTCTGCATCCCATTCTCCACCCCTTTCTGCATCCCATTCTCCACCCCTTTCTGCATCCCATTCTCCACCCCTTTCTGCATCCCATTCTCCACCCCTTTCTGCATCCCATTCTCCACCCCTTTCTGCATCCCATTCTCCACCCCTTTCTGCATCCCATTCTCCACCCCTTTCTGCATCCCATTCTCCACCCCTTTCTGCATCCCATTCTCCACCCCTTTCTGCATCCCATTCTCCACCCCTTTCTGCATCCCATTCTCCACCCCTTTCTGCATCCCATTCTCCACCCCTTTCTGCATCCCATTCTCCACCCCTTTCTGCATCCCATTCTCCACCCCTTTCTGCATCCCATTCTCCACCCCTTTCTGCATCCCATTCTCCACCCCTTTCTGCATCCCATTCTCCACCCCTTTCTGCATCCCATTCTCCACCCCTTTCTGCATCCCATTCTCCACCCCTTTCTGCATCCCATTCTCCACCCCTTTCTGCATCCCATTCTCCACCCCTTTCTGCATCCCATTCTCCACCCCTTTCTGCATCCCATTCTCCACCCCTTTCTGCATCCCATTCTCCACCCCTTTCTGCATCCCATTCTCCACCCCTTTCTGCATCCCATTCTCCACCCCTTTCTGCATCCCATTCTCCACCCCTTTCTGCATCCCATTCTCCACCCCTTTCTGCATCCCATTCTCCACCCCTTTCTGCATCCCATTCTCCACCCTCACCACCACCAGAATACTCGCCTGATGGCGAGTAGGACTTAACTTCCATCCTCCCCATAGTGGACGGCAGAGCGGCGGGCTTGAAGGGGCATGCGAGACCCGAAAGTGATCATTCTCACTACCTTGTGCCTTCTCTTCTCCTTCCTCAACACCCCCATCTCCACCCTCACCACCAGAGTACTCGCCTGAAGGGGAGCTAGACCTGTCATCAATCCGCCCCATGGTGGACGGCGGCACGGAGGGCTTTAAGGGGCACGCGAGGGTGATCATCCCGGGGGTGACGCCGTGCTTCCACTGCACGCTCTGGCTCTTCCCCCCCCAGACCAAGTTCCCCCTCTGCACGCTCGCTGAGACCCCCCGGTCCCCTGCGCACTGCATTGAATACGCGCACCTCATTCAGTGGGGCGAGGTGAGACGCTGCTTCCACTGCACTGCACGCTCTGGCTCTTCCCCCCCCAGACCAAGTTCCCCCTCTGCACGCTCGCTGAGACCCCCCGGTCCCCTGCGCACTGCATTGAATATGCGCACCTCATTCAGTGGGGCGAGGTAAGACGCGTATTGGGTGGCAAGATATGGTCTGCAATCATATCTTGCCACAGGGTCACTAAGACCGTTTGCCAGCTCACTGCATTGATTATGCTCACTGCATTGATTATGCTCACCTCATTCAGTGAGGCAAGGTGAGACGCGCACTTAATTCAGTGAGCGAGGTGAGACGCGCACCTCATTCATTTCCCGGGACCAACATATCCCCTTCCTCTCGTTCCATCTCCTACTCCCCCTTTTCACATCCTTTCTTTGTTTTAAATGTTTGTCACTTCGTTTTGGTTGTTGTTTTTTCTCGATTTCTTTGTCCATTTTCTATTCGATTTCGTTTTCTCTGTCTCGTTCTTTTCCCCTCTTCTCTTCTTCCCTCTCCTTTCCTTTCCTCTCCTCTCCCCTCCCCTACATCACATCACCACCAGGAGCGGCCAGGAGAGGCATTCGATGCGGACAACCTGGAGCACATACAATGGATCTACCAAAAGGTACCTCTTTTACTCTCCCTTCCTCGCCCCTCCTCTCCCCTCTCCCCTCCTCGCCCCTCCTCTCTCCTCGCCCTCCTCGCCTCTCCCCTCCTCCACATCTGTGATGCTGACAACTTGGATCTACCCAAAGGTGCCGCTGTAGCACTTGCTGAACGACTTTGTTTCTTTCCAGATTTTTTCTTCTTCTTCTTTTTCTTTTTTGTTGTTGTTGCCCCTCTCCCCCCCTTTATTCTTGTATTTGTGTGTGTGTGTGTGTGTGTGTGTGTGTGTGTGCGTGCGTGCGTGCGTGCGTGCGTGCGTGCGTGCGTGCGTGCGTGTGTGTGTGTGTCTATGCATTTATGCGACGGCCATCTGTCAACTTCACTTGATCCACGTTTCTGTCTGTCTTGTTCCTCGCCCATCCTTCCTCTCCTCCCCCTCCCTCTACTCCTTCCCTCACCTCACTCCTCACCTCCCCTCTGCTCGCCTGCAGGCTCTCATTCGCGCCCAGCAGCACAGCATCACAGGCGTCACTCTCTCCCTCACTCAGGTCAGACCAAGCACAGGTGCATACCATGCCATGCACCATGCTGCCTTTTGAGTCGACTCAAAGTCGCGCAGCAGCACAGCATCACAGGGGTCACGCTCTCCCTCACTCAGGTCAGACCAAGCACTCTCTGAATGTGCCATGCGTGTGTGTGTGCCTTGCGACTCCTCTCACCACTAGCACAGCATCACAGGGGTCACGCTCTCCCTTACTCAGGTCAGGCCATGCTGTCATGCGCCGTGCTGCCATGTACCATGCTGCCATGCGTGTGTGTGTTTGTTCCCATAAAGATCCACTCCAAGCACAGCATCACACGGCTCGCTCTCCCCTACATGCAGGTCACACCACGCAGCAGAAGCAAATCGCTCTGCAAGTGCTTGCATGTGCCGCGTTTAACAGAGTCAGGTCATTTGCTGCTTCATCCACTTGTTGCCGTCCCCTCCCACTGCCACACATCCCATTGTCATGCTGTAACTTCCCGTTTCTGTCATGCCATCACGTTTCATTCGATCCAGGGAGTGGCGAAGAACATTATCCCCGCTAGAGCATCAACATCTTATGATTGCCATGCCATAACCTCCCTCGTGTGTCACGCCATCACGATGCATTTGATACAGGGAGTTGTAAAGAACATCATCCCCGCTATAGCATCAACTAATGCCATCATATCAGCGGTGTGCGCACTCGAGACTCTCAAGATCGCTACAATGTGCTCTGCTGGGATGAATAACTACGTGATGTAAGTGAATGTGATTGAATAACTTGAATAACTACGTGATGTAAGTTAGTGTGCTTATACGCATGAATCCCTTTGTGCTGTCAGTGAGAGTGCTCCTATCTCGGAACATGCATGTGATGTAAGCGAACGCTCTCACATGCACCTTTGAACAAACATGCATGTGATGTAAGCGAACGCTCTCACATGCACCTTTGAACAAACATGCATGTGATGTAAGCGAACGCTCTCACATGCACCTTTGAACAAACATGCATGTGATGTAAGCGAACGCTCTCACATGCACCTTTGAACAAACATGCATGTGATGTAAGCGAACGCTCTCACATGCACCTTTGAACAAACATGCATGTGATGTAAGCGAACGCTCTCACATGCACCTTTGAACAAACATGCATGTGATGTAAGCGAACGCTCTCACATGCACCTTTGAACAAACATGCATGTGATGTAAGCGAACGCTCTCACATGCACCTTTGAACAAACATGCATGTGATGTAAGCGAACGCTCTCACATGCACCTTTGAACAAACATGCATGTGATGTAAGCGAACGCTCTCACATGCACCTTTGAACAAACATGCATGTGATGTAAGCGAACGCTCTCACATGCACCTTTGAACAAACATGCATGTGATGTAAGCGAACGCTCTCACATGCACCTTTGAACAAACATGCATGTGATGTAAGCGAACGCTCTCACATGCACCTTTGAACAAACATGCATGTGATGTAAGCGAACGCTCTCACATGCACCTTTGAACAAACATGCATGTGATGTAAGCGAACGCTCTCACATGCACCTTTGAACAAACATGCATGTGATGTAAGCGAACGCTCTCACATGCACCTTTGAACAAACATGCATGTGATGTAAGCGAACGCTCTCACATGCACCTTTGAACAAACATGCATGTGATGTAAGCGAACGCTCTCACATGCACCTTTGAACAAACATGCATGTGATGTAAGCGAACGCTCTCACATGCACCTTTGAACAAACATGCATGTGATGTAAGCGAACGCTCTCACATGCACCTTTGAACAAACATGCATGTGATGTAAGCGAACGCTCTCACATGCACCTTTGAACAAACATGCATGTGATGTAAGCGAACGCTCTCACATGCACCTTTGAACAAACATGCATGTGATGTAAGCGAACGCTCTCACATGCACCTTTGAACAAACATGCATGTGATGTAAGCGAACGCTCTCACATGCACCTTTGAACAAACATGCATGTGATGTAAGCGAACGCTCTCACATGCACCTTTGAACAAACATGCATGTGATGTAAGCGAACGCTCTCACATGCACCTTTGAACAAACATGCATGTGATGTAAGCGAACGCTCTCACATGCACCTTTGAACAAACATGCATGTGATGTAAGCGAACGCTCTCACATGCACCTTTGAACAAACATGCATGTGATGTAAGCGAACGCTCTCACATGCACCTTTGAACAAACATGCATGTGATGTAAGCGAACGCTCTCACATGCACCTTTGAACAAACATGCATGTGATGTAAGCGAACGCTCTCACATGCACCTTTGAACAAACATGCATGTGATGTAAGCGAACGCTCTCACATGCACCTTTGAACAAACATGCATGTGATGTAAGCGAACGCTCTCACATGCACCTTTGAACAAACATGCATGTGATGTAAGCGAACGCTCTCACATGCACCTTTGAACAAACATGCATGTGATGTAAGCGAACGCTCTCACATGCACCTTTGAACAAACATGCATGTGATGTAAGCGAACGCTCTCACATGCACCTTTGAACAAACATGCATGTGATGTAAGCGAACGCTCTCACATGCACCTTTGAACAAACATGCATGTGATGTAAGCGAACGCTCTCACATGCACCTTTGAACAAACATGCATGTGATGTAAGCGAACGCTCTCACATGCACCTTTGAACAAACATGCATGTGATGTAAGCGAACGCTCTCACATGCACCTTTGAACAAACATGCATGTGATGTAAGCGAACGCTCTCACATGCACCTTTGAACAAACATGCATGTGATGTAAGCGAACGCTCTCACATGCACCTTTGAACAAACATGCATGTGATGTAAGCGAACGCTCTCACATGCACCTTTGAACAAACATGCATGTGATGTAAGCGAACGCTCTCACATGCACCTTTGAACAAACATGCATGTGATGTAAGCGAACGCTCTCACATGCACCTTTGAACAAACATGCATGTGATGTAAGCGAACGCTCTCACATGCACCTTTGAACAAACATGCATGTGATGTAAGCGAACGCTCTCACATGCACCTTTGAACAAACATGCATGTGATGTAAGCGAACGCTCTCACATGCACCTTTGAACAAACATGCATGTGATGTAAGCGAACGCTCTCACATGCACCTTTGAACAAACATGCATGTGATGTAAGCGAACGCTCTCACATGCACCTTTGAACAAACATGCATGTGATGTAAGCGAACGCTCTCACATGCACCTTTGAACAAACATGCATGTGATGTAAGCGAACGCTCTCACATGCACCTTTGAACAAACATGCATGTGATGTAAGCGAACGCTCTCACATGCACCTTTGAACAAACATGCATGTGATGTAAGCGAACGCTCTCACATGCACCTTTGAACAAACATGCATGTGATGTAAGCGAACGCTCTCACATGCACCTTTGAACAAACATGCATGTGATGTAAGCGAACGCTCTCACATGCACCTTTGAACAAACATGCATGTGATGTAAGCGAACGCTCTCACATGCACCTTTGAACAAACATGCATGTGATGTAAGCGAACGCTCTCACATGCACCTTTGAACAAACATGCATGTGATGTAAGCGAACGCTCTCACATGCACCTTTGAACAAACATGCATGTGATGTAAGCGAACGCTCTCACATGCACCTTTGAACAAACATGCATGTGATGTAAGCGAACGCTCTCACATGCACCTTTGAACAAACATGCATGTGATGTAAGCGAACGCTCTCACATGCACCTTTGAACAAACATGCATGTGATGTAAGCGAACGCTCTCACATGCACCTTTGAACAAACATGCATGTGATGTAAGCGAACGCTCTCACATGCACCTTTGAACAAACATGCATGTGATGTAAGCGAACGCTCTCACATGCACCTTTGAACAAACATGCATGTGATGTAAGCGAACGCTCTCACATGCACCTTTGAACAAACATGCATGTGATGTAAGCGAACGCTCTCACATGCACCTTTGAACAAACATGCATGTGATGTAAGCGAACGCTCTCACATGCACCTTTGAACAAACATGCATGTGATGTAAGCGAACGCTCTCACATGCACCTTTGAACAAACATGCATGTGATGTAAGCGAACGCTCTCACATGCACCTTTGAACAAACATGCATGTGATGTAAGCGAACGCTCTCACATGCACCTTTGAACAAACATGCATGTGATGTAAGCGAACGCTCTCACATGCACCTTTGAACAAACATGCATGTGATGTAAGCGAACGCTCTCACATGCACCTTTGAACAAACATGCATGTGATGTAAGCGAACGCTCTCACATGCACCTTTGAACAAACATGCATGTGATGTAAGCGAACGCTCTCACATGCACCTTTGAACAAACATGCATGTGATGTAAGCGAACGCTCTCACATGCACCTTTGAACAAACATGCATGTGATGTAAGCGAACGCTCTCACATGCACCTTTGAACAAACATGCATGTGATGTAAGCGAACGCTCTCACATGCACCTTTGAACAAACATGCATGTGATGTAAGCGAACGCTCTCACATGCACCTTTGAACAAACATGCATGTGATGTAAGCGAACGCTCTCACATGCACCTTTGAACAAACATGCATGTGATGTAAGCGAACGCTCTCACATGCACCTTTGAACAAACATGCATGTGATGTAAGCGAACGCTCTCACATGCACCTTTGAACAAACATGCATGTGATGTAAGCGAACGCTCTCACATGCACCTTTGAACAAACATGCATGTGATGTAAGCGAACGCTCTCACATGCACCTTTGAACAAACATGCATGTGATGTAAGCGAACGCTCTCACATGCACCTTTGAACAAACATGCATGTGATGTAAGCGAACGCTCTCACATGCACCTTTGAACAAACATGCATGTGATGTAAGCGAACGCTCTCACATGCACCTTTGAACAAACATGCATGTGATGTAAGCGAACGCTCTCACATGCACCTTTGAACAAACATGCATGTGATGTAAGCGAACGCTCTCACATGCACCTTTGAACAAACATGCATGTGATGTAAGCGAACGCTCTCACATGCACCTTTGAACAAACATGCATGTGATGTAAGCGAACGCTCTCACATGCACCTTTGAACAAACATGCATGTGATGTAAGCGAACGCTCTCACATGCACCTTTGAACAAACATGCATGTGATGTAAGCGAACGCTCTCACATGCACCTTTGAACAAACATGCATGTGATGTAAGCGAACGCTCTCACATGCACCTTTGAACAAACATGCATGTGATGTAAGCGAACGCTCTCACATGCACCTTTGAACAAACATGCATGTGATGTAAGCGAACGCTCTCACATGCACCTTTGAACAAACATGCATGTGATGTAAGCGAACGCTCTCACATGCACCTTTGAACAAACATGCATGTGATGTAAGCGAACGCTCTCACATGCACCTTTGAACAAACATGCATGTGATGTAAGCGAACGCTCTCACATGCACCTTTGAACAAACATGCATGTGATGTAAGCGAACGCTCTCACATGCACCTTTGAACAAACATGCATGTGATGTAAGCGAACGCTCTCACATGCACCTTTGAACAAACATGCATGTGATGTAAGCGAACGCTCTCACATGCACCTTTGAACAAACATGCATGTGATGTAAGCGAACGCTCTCACATGCACCTTTGAACAAACATGCATGTGATGTAAGCGAACGCTCTCACATGCACCTTTGAACAAACATGCA